AAGGAAGGAAGGAAGGAAGGAAGGAAGGAAGAGATAATAAGCATGTCGGAGGAATGGGTGGTAGGAGTGAGAGCTATCACTAGGGCTTAGTAGAAATAAAGCTGATTTTACGTCAGAAAACAGATTTTGAATCCTTACAACTTCAATTCTTTATGCATTTATTTATACCTTTGTCATTCCAGAAATAACAAACACACCCAGAGGGTTACCAAGGGCTTGGAAACAGCAGGAAAATTCTAGCTGTGTAACTTTGGACAAATAGCTTAACATCACTAATCTTTAGCATTCTCAGCTACCTTATAAGATCACGTGAGGATTAAGCATATGTTGTATTTCATAGTGCTAAGTGTAGTGGCTAGAGTTTGACTGCTGGTAACTTTTAAGATCCTTGTATATCCAGTAGCAGAGAAATGGTGTTGAAAGTCAACACTAAAGGAAAAGAGGCACTCCAACCCACTTGTTTGCTGTTCATATGCAGTAATTCTGTAAATTGTGTTGAGACTTACCTTAGAATCGGATTCAATTGGTTTTTTGCACTCCTCGCAATAGTTAGAAAATACACGATCATAACATGTAACACAGTACGGACTGTCATCCTTTAGTACATATTTCTTCCCAAGAAGTGATGCTGTGCAGTATTGACAGTAAAACTGAGCAGTTGTCATTTTGGTTTGATCCTGTGAATGACAAAGTGATTCATGTATATAAAAGCAGAATTTTGTTTATAGGATAAATGATGAAACCTTAATGTAATGTGAGTGAAGCATTCGGATGAATTTATATTTTCTTAAGCAAAAATCCACCAATTTAGGAAAATATGCTTCTAGTTATGGTGACATTTGGAGTGATTTAGGAAAGGTTACTCTCCCATCTTGGCAGTTCTTGTGTGTTTTGCTAAAAAAATGCATAAAACCTGCAGCTAGATTATGAAAAACATCTTGTGTTTATCATAAGCTAATGTGGAATTCAATGAGAATATGGTATCTGTTGAAACAGGATGGTTTTACCTCAAGGATATAAATATAAACTGTTGCTAGGGCTTTTAATAACTCTCATCACTTACTTCTTGCTGGAAAATTCTAGAGGCAGATTTTGATGGAAAAACAGTCTTTTTTACTGAAATATAAATTAATAATCAATACATTGTCATTCGAGTCTTCACTGAATAAGGGCTCTGCACATTTACCCCAAGGTCTTCCTGTACCACATCCCCTCCTTAGCTGTGACTTCCACCATCCCAAATGTGCTGATGACTCCAAAATCTCTGTTTTCTACTAGCTTTAGATATCTTCATTTAAATATCTTTTACCAAGCTGGCCAAATAAAACTCCTCAGCAGGTAGGATTCTGAACAAGTGCTAGGTCTTTGTGACTATTGTTGAACAATTGCCCAAATGCAGAAGTGCATATAAAATCATCAGTGGTAGAAAACAATAATAGGTTCCTTCAGGCTTTAGGGCCAAAGTAACATGTATAGAGCATGAATAATAGCAGCAGCTATTCCATTATAGCTATGGATAAAATAGCTAGAATTCATCTGCAAGGTGAAAATCATTCTGTAAGGTGAATAAAAAAGCTGATATGAAACCTAAAGCCAGTGGTAGATAAGGATTCTGATTGTCTTGTAAATTTGGAAAGCCATTAAGAAACAACGCATATAGATTTCCAAAGGTTTTAAGTAGGCGTTGAACATGAATTCTTTGTTGTTACAAAAAAAAAAAAGTAGTACTGCTTTTCCTCGGAAAATGAGATTTGTTATCTCAGGATTTACTGGAATATATTAGGAGCTTTGAATATTTTCTAATTCTCTCCCAACAGAATTTTTTTTAATTTTGGCGAAATCAGAGGAGCAATTAACGATGATGATACAACAGCGTTTTTGATACTAGTTTGTACTGACTACATTTGAACTGTTATTCTCATGCGTTTTGCCTTATTCTAGTGATGAAGTTCCCAGCAGAGAGCCTTGCTAAATGCACATGATTATTAATTCTGTACATAGCAGTTTTGCTATATTGTTCTTCACTAACAAGTAGAGAAAAGGCAGAGGATTTGGAATATGTGGGTCTTTTCCCAGGAAAGATGAAATGCAGACTAGAAAGTTCGCAATGGAACATGGCCAAAATCATCTACAAGGAACATTGAATTCTCCATTTGATTAATTCCACAGAAATGTTCCTTCCTAGTGAGTACAAACACACTCAGAGGGTTACTGAAGGCTTGAAAACAGCAGGAAAATAGATCTAATTCCCTTGAAAGGTTTAAAAATAAAAGTTTTATTCACATTTACAGCAATCAAGTATTTATCACTTCATAGAAATAAAGTATGTACCTTTAACTCTCTTTACTTAATATGGAAAACGTCACTTTCATTAATATTTATTTTCGTTTTAGATGTATATAATAGCATCATGAAACATAGCCCCTCAGTGGTTAGGAACTGGCAGTCTACTGCCATTTTGTGAGGCTTTTAGTGTATTATAAAATGAATATATAAAACCACAAAAGGGATTACACCAAATTGATAATATTTCAATTGCTTATTTCAAATGACACTTTAAACATGACAACATCAAAATACCTGTAACTTATTTAGTGATCAGATCAGATGCCTAAATATAAGACAAGATGGTCCTTCTCCCATCCAAGTCCTAATAGGATAATAGGCCTGGATCCACAGAAAATTCCTTACAACATAGACCATATGTTTTTTTTTGAGATGAAGTCTTGCTCTGTCACCCAGACTGGAGTGCAGTGGTGCGATCTCTGCTCACTGCAAGCTCCGCCTCCCGGATTCACGCCATTCTCCTGCCTCAGCATCCTGAGTAGCTGGGATTACAGGCGCCCGCCACCGCGCCCGGCTAGTTTTTTTGTTTTTTGTTTTTTTGTTTTGTTTTGTTTTGTTTTGTATTTTTAATAGAGTCAGGGTTTCACCGTGATAGCCAGGATGGTCTCTATGTCCTGACCTTGTGATCCGTCCGCCTAGGCCTCCCAAAGTGCTGGGATTACAGGCGTGAGCCACCGCACCCGGCCTCTTAAAAGAAATTCACTTCTTATTCAATTCTGTTTTGTAAAAGCAACATCAGGAAGTTGGGTAGGGTGAGGACAGAATTGGTCTAATATCTCAAAACCTTGTGATTTTACACTTGTAGGACTATACAGTGGGAGGAGGCATTTGGTCCAGGTTAACACTTCTTAAATATTTACTCAGTGATTTGAACTCCCTGCCCCCTTAAGGAGTCTGGATTCTCTTAGCTTAGCCCCTGTCTTAGTAATAGTGAATGTAATTTGAAGTAAGAGAACAAACTGAATGTTTATTCTTTTCTTCTTGGTTAGAAAAAATACACTAAGAAATTCATTCCTCATTTTCATGAAGTCTATCGTTTAACTATTGATCTTTGAATATATCCAAATAGTGTTTCTTAAAAATAGAGGTATTATAACTATATAAAAGATACACATTCTATTAGAACGATATAGAATTCTTAGAGAACCATTATAATAGAAAGGAGAGTGAGGAGAGACCTTTCTAGGAAGACCTTAAGGAAGTTAAGCTGTTGGAAATCTGTTAGGAAGGAAGGAAGATTGGAAGAAAGGAAGGAAGAAAAGAAGGAAGGAAAGAAAGAAGAAAGGAAGGAAAGATCAAACTTTATTGAGGAAGGGAAAAGACAAGTGAGAGAATGGCATAGGAGCTCATTTGAAGTTGGGAAATGTTTAGTCTTGAGAACAAATTTTCACCTGGGTACATTAAGGATGAAGAAGGATCTTGAAACTTGAAAGCTTTTTAAAGTGATTTGAACTTCGAATGCAAGCAGTTCTAACTGGAATGAAGCAGGCAGAACAGGTTAGAGAATGAATTTTTCCAATCTGACCACTTTTTACTATTTTACGCTTTTCTAAACATTATTCTTTACTTTTTCCTCTTCTTTAACACTAACATTAATAGTTTAAAATTCTCAGGGAATAATTCTGTGTCCAGAAGAGCAAGCCAATTAGCTTGTTTTAATCATGCCCTAACAGGTAGAGCTGTAGGAAAGAGGATGAGGACTATGTGATTTTTGTCTCAGGAATCACCACCTGAGGAATAATTTGTCAAAGACATTGGAAAATTTTTGCTTTCAAAGATTAAAAAGTCTTGAGCAAAGCTGTTCTTAATTATGAACTGTAAGAACTATTAATATAAACAATGTACCCCCAATTGGTTAGCATTCAACTTTTCTAGGTGTGAACTCAGCAGTGCTAGTCATTCACTTGGAATGTATCACTTAGACATTCTTCTCAAACTTCTTTCAAAGTTATTCAGCAACTAACACAACATTTAAGCCCAGAAGTTTTATCTTTGCATATTGGGATTTTAGAAGGTTTATTTAGTGGTACACTGATACGTCAAAGAACATAATGAAGACAGATGAGTAGAAGACAGATGAGTAGTTGAGCAATTCAATGGCATCAATAGACTTGGCTTTGTTTTTCTAGTTCCCTCCTTTAGATTTTAGATTTCTCCCTTAAAAAGATGTAAGTTCGGCTGTGCTGTGTCTCGCCTGTAATCCCAGCGCTTTGGGAGTCCGAGGTGGGCGGATCACCTGAGGTTGGGAGTTTAAGACCAGCCTGACCAACATGGAGAAACCCCTGCTCTACTAAAAATATAAAATTAGCCGGGTGTGGTGGCGCAAGCCTGTGATTTCAGCTACTTGGGAGGCTGAGGCAGGAGAATCACTTGAACTCGGGAGGTGAAGGTTGTGGTGAGCCCGGATAGCACCATTGCACTCCAGCCTGGGCAACAAGAGCAAAAACTCCGTCTCAAAAAAAAAAAAAAAAAAAAAAAAAGATGTAAGTTCATTGGTAATAGTTTCTGTAGCTGAGAATGTTATTTCTTAGGTGCTATTTTTAAAACCAGAACAATTTTGCGTCAAGTTATATTTTATGGTGAGTTATTGATAAAAAGCCTAATGCTATGAGTAATATATCCACTTAACATTTTTACTATGCTATGCAGAATGAATAGATTCACAAGAAGTGTAGTTGAGAACATTTCACGTGGGAGAGAGGCAAGGACTAGGTGCCATGCCTGGTATCTTTAATGTACTATTGTTTGCAAGGCATCACACACCATCTATTTATTAATGCATTTGAAAAACATGTAAAGTACATGTCATTTGCAAAGTAATCTGCTGCAAGTTGTAAAGGATATAAAAATAGATTAGACTCACATACTGTCTGCAGAGAGCTTATGATCTAGGAGGAAGAGTAAGGACATTTCATACATCACTAAACAAAAGTTAGGAAGTGATGAGAATAAATGAAAGGTTACAAGTTTTATAGCAGTAGTTCTAAACATTAGGTACACATTAGAATTTAAAAAAAGTCCAAGGTGCATCCCTGTCTCAGATAAATTAGACTTTTTGGGAGTGCACTAAAAATAAGTATTTTTCCATTCTCAAGTAGCTCTAATATCCAGCGTGGTTGAAAACCACCCTCTTAAAGAAGGAGGAAGGACAATTACTTTCAGCTAGGAAAAATTCAGGAACAACCTGAAGCAGTGGCAACTGAATGACTTTTGTAGCAGATATTATGGATTGGCCTTCCCAAACTTGATTTTATCCTCTTTCAAGTTGGAGAGATCAAGGAATTAAAAGCATTTCCTGGATCTTCTTACAGTGTGTGTTCAGGATGCAAATTTGTCTCTGCTACAAACACATGGGAAAATCAGCAGGTGGATATGAAATGAAAGACGTGTTCCTGCTGCTGTTGATGGTGGCAAATCGGCTGGCTGAGATGTGAACAGCTTCTATCCATTCAGAATGCCAGGATTCAGGTTTCCTAACTGGTGTTTTTGCTGGGAGAGACAGTTGTGGTGGTACTCGTGGCAGCAGCAGCAAGTTTATGACCTCTAGATCACCAGCAGAATGGATGTGGAAGTGGGCAAAGGGCAGTCTCTACCACCCTTGGAGTAATTTCAGAAATACTAACCATAATACTTAATACTCCTATATGTTTCCTGAACATATAGGCTGAGTCCTCTGTCAACTGCTCTATGTGGATCTTTTTAAATCTTTGCAATGATCCCCTGAGGAGGTCTATTATTATTATGCTCATTTGATGGATGAGCAAACCAAAACTTAGGAGGCCAAGATCACTTGGCTGATAAAAATGCTAGGTCTAGGGTGCAAGTCTACAACTTTTAGAAACTGAAGCCGAGGATCTTAGCCAGTGTAAACCTGTCCTTTCCTTGAGATGTGGAGAAGGGCATTTAGATGCAGCAACAGAATTGGGAAGGGCACTGACACTTGTATATGTGAGGCATGCATGGAAAACAGTAAGTACCGTATTCTAAATGGCTTGCAGAGCATGACAGGGTAAATATTGGAAGACAAATTTGAAAAGGAAGACTAGAGCAAGATCATCAATGGCTTAAGTTTCATGCTAGTTTTGAACTTTTTTCCATAGAAAAAATATAATCATTGATGATTTAGAACAGGTAAGTGCCATGTTTTGAGCTGAGACTTATGAGAATTAATTTAGAAACAGTGATAGAAGGGATTAAAGGTAGATATACCATAAACAGGAAAACTAATTCGAAACTCATTTTTCAATATGTGGTCTAATCAACAAATATTATGCCTTCTGTACAAAATGTGCTGTTTTTTGTGTTGGGGGGAGGGGATATGGAGAATCAATGAGCTATTTCCCTTAAGGGAAAATTCATTAAATAAACAAATCATAAGAATAAAATTATTAATCAATTTACATGAACAAGTAATTATATATAATATATAATGTTAAACATGTATGTACATATTAAATTATATATTGGCATATATTATATATATAAAGAGAGAGTTGCAGAGACTGTGAGATCAAGTGATAGAAGAATACAACCATGTATGAAGTCTTGGAATTCTGAGAAGCCAAAGACTGAGTCTTGTTTAAAGGGTGAGAATGACGTTGGAAATGGGGAAGGGATGGAAGCATTTGGGGTATTCATGTTGGAGGTAATGATGGCCTGATTTAGAAAAGAGTATTGAGATCATGTGCAAGATGCAGTAGGACTTAAAAAGTGAATGCATTTGGGAGGCAGAGAGAGTAGTTCTGAAATTTCATATACAGTTCCTGGTAGAATTAGTATGCCACATGGGAGTACACAAAGAGAAACTAGTTGGAAGACAAGATGAACTCAGGTTTAGTTATATTGAATTTGAGGAACTAAACTAGATAGCCATCAAGCTGTATGTCCAAAATATTAGGCATCGAAATGTGTTAGATTAAGAAGTTTAGACTATTTTCCTGGATGAGCTAATTAGTAGTTGAGGAACTGCAATGGTAACTGAAGTTATGAGACTGAATGAGACCATCAAATAAACCCTAGTATAGAAAAGTGAAAACAGATAAAATACGAACTCATGGATAAATGCATGTTATGTGATGGGAAAGAGATTAAGCTGATGTAGTGAAGGTCACAGCGTTTTGAAAGACAAAAGAAATGAGAACTTCAAGAAGAGAATATATGTTAATAACAATTAAGGAAAGTGTCAACAAGGAGGTAAATGATGCCTTCAAGAGAATAGTTTGGAGACACTAAATTGTCTGATGTCAGATTTCAGAGTTAAAACGTGAGTGAGGAGATGCTCATTGCTGACAGCTTAGAAAACTGCATGTTCAAAAACACACGCCTAAGGAATAAAAAGCAAACAAAATAAAATGTGTTGCTGAACTGGCAAGAAAGTAAGGGAAAATCTCAGAGGCTAAAAATAAGAAGAAAGCAGGAAACTAGAAAGGTTAACACTCTCTAAAGGAGCCATCTGTCCTGAGGATGTCTTCTGAGCCATGATGACCTCGTTATCCAAGTATTTACAGCCTGGACTTATACCAACCGTAAGGTCTAAAACTTGTAGCTTTTAGTTTAAAAGGCTTAGTTTAAAATGGAACACAAGAAAATCCTCTATGAAAGAATGTCGCATCATCCTAGGCCTAAAAAAATTCATACATATAAATTTTCATTAAACATGAATTCACAAAGTATTTAAAATAAGAATA